CAACATTGAAAAGATGGCCATTTCCAAAACCCTTCATCCGGAACGGATCCTAGAATCGAGAGTTCGGTATCAGGATCATAAACCAGAGGTGTAGCCAGCTGCCTTGTCCCCAGTTTAGTGCGTGGTTTCCAAACGATAATTGTTCTAATTCATGTTCCTAAAAACGGCTTTGGAAATGGCCTCGAAGAATATATATGTAATATTACGAGAGATGTTTCCCATCACCTAGGTTAAATATTTCGTTTAAATGAGGTACCGAGTCGAGAATCGAAAAGAGGCAGTTTCGTTAAATCAAACAACTAAATTGTGTGAATTACTGTCGAAACACTTGGAATAAACCAAACTAAATATTGGAATCTGGGAGTTTAATACTTGATAATGGCTCTCCTGTCAGTCCTTTCCTCGGTAGAAATACAATGATCGGTTAAATACAGTAAGCGATTATACTTAAGCACACGAGCAGAAATGGATAATGTAACTGATAAATAACGTATAGTGATTGATTCACACGTGGCGGTGGCGGTTAGAGGTACATATCAGAGTACCTTTAATTGTTTTTCCCATTACAGTACGATCTCAGTTGTTTCTATTCAAGTTATTATTTAAGGCAGGAAAAGGTCGGTATCTTTGACTATCGCCTTGCCAAAACTAATTGTTATCCCAATAAATAGTCCTAATTTTAATACCTATATTTATTATTGTTATTGTTATTTTGCTTTTTTTTTGAGTTTCCAATTTTAGTTTTTTTTTAGTTTAAGCAGGGGAATACTTAAGGCTAAGCAACATCAATAAGACAAGAGTGATTAATATTTTATTTACATCTTAAAAGAACGGGATACTATCTATATGCAGACACCTTAAATCCAATTTCTTCAAGTTTTAAATGACTTGAAGTTGAACCGGCACTTCTGTCACATCTTGCTCTGACATTTTTGTCATCCTTTGTTCAAAGTGTGTTCCTCAATGCGACTAGAGCTCTGCCCAACAACCCGACGTCATGTTTGTGTTCTCGTTTTGGGAGCGCGGTGAAATAATAAAAATAAAATGAAGGAGAGGTGAGAAAATTGAAATATAAACTAAGAATGTGTGTCTGTGTGTCTACACAAACGAATGCTGGCTACATACATCCCATGCATGCGTAATAGTAACTTGAAGATTAAGATTGCGGGCTCCTCTGGTTGCCCAAAATTACACTGCGAATACTCTAGATTTTTTTGAAATATGACACAAAACATGCCAGCGATGAAGCACGCGAAGAGAGTGGTCATTTTCTTCTCAGTCTCGCGCGTTTCGTCCAATGGACTAAGAAAGACCACGGAATAATCCTAGTCTATTGCAAAGAAGTAGCTGTAGAATAAACACAGTTGTAGAAAGAAGAAGACTGGGTATTATTGCTAATACAGCCGTCTTTTTTTCGCCCCTCGCAGTTAGACACGTTCCGCAGGTGAAACGTCGGCGATTTGACCCCAGAAACTCTATACTGATTACGTGAATCAATGTTTACACAACTAATCTGGTAGTCATAGGGTTCCACATGTCAATTTGTTCGAAATTACGTTTCCTGGTCAATTACTGTAAAGATAGACGGCTATGGTAATCTCTGTCGAAGTTCTATCAAGTTTCAATCATGTTGTCTCCTCGACACTGGTGAAACTTAAGCTTACATATACTCTAGCTATGTACAAAATAAACGAAAAATCTAAGGAGAAGGTTTTAAGCAAAAGCTCCAGTTTCGCGTTCGTCAGCTGAATTGCAAGTTGAAAAGCCTTATTGCGCGTATTACCATCCTTCGCTCTCAACTTGTCACGCAACAAATTTCAATGTTGCAAATCGCGGCAATATGTTGCGCAAAGTAGACCCGAGTTTGTCCAGACTGATGCAAGAAAGTCGTTGATTTCGGCGTGCCTCAAGGTTCTATATTAGGTCCTTTCATCTTAAACCTATATGTAGCAGATCTTCAAGAGCATGCTCAGTGCCCGTGCTTTCAATATGCTAACGACACAACTTTTGACCTTCACTCAAAGGTGTCCAAGTTGGATGATTGCACCACCGGCTTAAATGATGCTATGGCACGTCTGGAAAACTATTCCACTGACTCTAATCTTGCGCTAAATACCAAGAAGACAAAGTGGACACTTCTGTCGACAACACAGATGTCTCGAGTGCATAGCCTGGACAGCTCTACTTTAAATGTAAACTGCAGGAGTTCCCTTGAAGCGCGTACAATCTACAAAGTTGCTTGGACTACATTTTAACCAACATCTGACATGGAACGAGTATGTCACCTTAACACTCGCGTCATGCTACGGGACACTGGCAGTTCTAAGAAAACTGAAGCATATGGCTCCATATCATGTGAGGAAGCAGCTGGCAGAGTGTCTCGTTATTTCCAGGCTGGACTACGCCTGTTCGATCCACTACCAGCAGCCTATCAGCTGCGATGCCTCCAGAGAGGGCAAAATGCATGTGCCGGGTTTGTGTTAAGGAAATACGGTAATGAGTCTGACCTAGTGACACTAAACTTGCTAGATATTGCTAAAAGACGCAAACTTTCTGTTCTTAAATTGACTTTTAAATCTCTGAATGATACAAGTTTTCCTGAATACCTTAGACTTAGTACTCATATAGTGTCTGCATACAACTTGTCAGAACCATGTCAGAAACATTAACGACTATGGACTCTTTTGCAAATCAATAACGCCATTGTTATAATGCCCCGGATTCGACTCTATTTCAGTGACACAGAGATATTTTAATGTCACAAGCCCAAATGTTAGATATAGTCTATACTTTTATTTTTATTATTTTATTTTATTTTTTTAACTATTTCTCATAAAATTTAATTGTTATTTTATTTGTAAATTACTAGAATAATAGTTAAGATACCTTTTAGTTTACAGGCGAAAAGCCACTTCATGGATACTGTATTTAAGTCATTATATTATTATTATTACTATTATTATTATAATAAACCAAGGGCGGCTAAGCGAGTTCGCCATTTTGTTTAGTGACACAAAACATACCGTTGACCAATCACAAGGCACCATTTTCAAAATGAGCCTCAACTTGCAACATTGAAATTTGCTGCGTGACAAGTTGGACGAAAATTTTGCCCGTATTACTTGACTTTAACTATAAGGGAAACAAATTTTGTTAACCACAGAAAACGGATTTATCTAATGCCATTTTGGCGTAGGTCTATTTATTTACAAATTTACCATCAGGGTCTATTTTCAATGATTCTTTGATGTTGATCTGAATGAAGTGTACGTTCGCTGCACACAAGAAGCACACTTATAGAAAGGCACTGACAGTAACTACTGGCAACCGATGTTCTGTACACGCACCAAAGTTTTTCAGTGCGGGTTCTAATATGAAACAAAAAAACTGTTATAAGTTATGTTTTTATACATCTTAAAGTAGAACACACCCCAAAGCTTTTTAAGTACTGGCTAGTTACCGAGGACCATTCCGCAATGAAATAACCTCGTTTGAATTGCATTCAAAGCAAATTTTTAAACTGCCCGAGGAACGCTACTTTTCATTCCATCATCTATTTCCTCTATATCCTCGAGGCGCTTACACACTTCTTCCAGTTCTTTCTTGGTACTGTAAAAAAGAAAACTTTTCTGTAAAAGGCGAACACAAAGCCGAAAAGGCAAACATTTTTAAGGTATCATTCATGACACAGCTAAGAAAAAAGGGGCAATAGCAGAGGGTTGTCCAATGCACCCGCACCAATAGCACGGGAATTATAGTAAAATACGAAGCGCCATTTCAGTCTCTTAGCCAAACGGCCCCCATAACACGCGGGGAAAAAGGAAACGATTAAAATTTTTGGCAAGGTTTTGAACCATTTACAGAGCTACTTGAAATGCTCGCCCAGTTTTTTCAAGTGTCATCTGTGACTTATCACAACCGCAAATACCTCGTTTCGTTGCATTTACGGTACTACTCAACATGGCTAGACCACTTTTGTTCGTTTTCATTGTTGCATCCGGTTTGCAGCGTACGCGTCAGAAAAATGGTACCTGCACAAAGAAACAGGAGCGGCTCCTCATAGGAAACCTACCAATGCATAGGGTAATAGGATGAAAATGGAGCGGCGGGTTGGTTTGGTGGCTACCCCCCTTTAAAACGGCCTAAGCACGAAAAAAGATGATAAGTATCAAACACAGTCGCCTACCATACAGTGCATCCTATAAGATCCCTATTACCTTTGTTGTCGAGCTAAGACTGCTCTAAAACGTACGTGACAGGAGCTCTTCTGAGTTCTTTTCCGCTAACGCTTGTTTTATTGCCTCCGCCATTTTGATTTGTTCTTTGGGGTCAGTGGCGCTGAAGCATTCTACTTAACTTTTTTCTGGAAGAAACGCTTAGGCTTTGTGAAGTTTCCCTTTTTGAGTCTTTCTTTTTCTTATTTTGTGGCTTCGCTACAGTTTCCAATGTTACAGGTTTCCAGTCCGGCCTTGATTTGCAACTTTTGCCGGACTTGCCGACAAAAAATTTTAATTGATGAAAAATTTGGTGACCCATCTACACAAGCCGCGTTCCTTCAATAATCCTGGATCCACTCATGAAGGTTCTGCTTGCTGATAAAATTCAGTTGTACCAACGTAAAGTGTTGTTTGACTGGAAACAGACTCAAAAGCGAGGTCCACTTTCATAGTTGCATACAAGCCAGGAAACACTTGCAGCAACCGTTGACTCGAATAAACTTATTTTCACACAGGCTACTCCTTAACAGAGTGAAGAAAAAGGGTTAGAAAAACGTTACATAGTCCTTTTTTTACGTCGGTACCTCGAAATAGTCATCTGGCTGACAAACCTGAGGTCGGCGGTGCGTTCATTTTACCTGAAGATATGGCAGCTGCACCCAAGAGGGAGATCCCCGCTAGCAAGTTTCGACTAGTGTTGGAGGGGTGGGGGGGAGTGTTCCCCTTCCTCCCAGCCCACCCTTCATTTGCTCGCATTGTTAAGTCAATTACACTCACTTCTGCTTACCTTTCGAGATCCTTGTGTTTCGTATCCAGCACCTTCTCCTGCATGGCTAAACACTGCTCAAAGTTAGTTTTTGCTGCCTGTAACTCGTTCGTTTCCTTAAATGCCATTGCAACCTCAAATAGAGATAAAGCTGTTTCCATGTGCTCCCGAAGGAAGTTCCACCGAATTTTCAGCGCCTCCTCTGAACACTTTTTAGCGTCTTCGAACTGTCCCAGAGCACGGTAGTTTTTGGACAGGTTGTTTAGGATGGTAGCTGTAAAAGGATGATCGCCCAGCTTTTCTCTGTATATTGGAAGCGTTTCCTGTGTTCTGAATTTTACGGCTTCTCGGAAAAGTGCATTGGCTCGTTCTTGTTGATGTTGTTTTTGATGATGTGCCGCTTCCAGGAAGAGGACAACTACAACACAGGAGAAATGTACAGTTTCGTTGCTGGATTTATTGTTCTTGTAGGTTTTTCATAAAAGTTATTCCAATTAACGAAGCACATTATCACGGCAATATTAACATGAAAATCATGAAAATATGTAACCAGTTTGTATAGGAGCCCTTGGCATAACCCGGAGCGAACAAAGCCTTTAGCTAAGCCTATGCCTATGGGAGGGGGGGGGGGCGTTTTCACGAACCTTATTTTTAGATACAGTTTAGTTTCCCACAAAAATGGAAGGCCGCTCCGTCAATGAGCACATTCGAGGTATAAGATATGAAAAAAAAATACTAAATGTCATTAAAAGGTCAATAATACAGTTTTTTTTACAGTTTTCTGTAAGATTTGCTAACTGGTTTGTGGGACTATTCTAAATTCGCGCCAAAATCGTTCAAAAAATAAATTGGTCGGTTCCAAAACGACGTCACACGAGAACATATGGAAATTGCTCACTCTGGGTTATGGGCTCGCGGTTTGTATCTGTAGAAGGTTAAAATCAAGTTTAGGCTAAAGTGGTATCAAGCTAGGAGACATAGGAAATCGAGCATCAAACTGAGTTGAAACTTCATTTTAAAGTACAGCATATTCATAACTGATTCTCTTTCGACAAAGCCCTCACGGTAAGATGGCCAGCTACTGGGCTCAACCATCTCTAGGGACGGATCTAGGAAAGAACTTAACGCCTTGTGCCTCAGGCTTTTAACTTTCCTTCGGTGCTCTGCATCCCCTCCTTATCTAAGATACTACTTCTTCGCTCTTCTTTCTCGAGGAGGGAAGGGAGAGGACCCTGGGAACGATGTTGAACTTAGGCTCACCTGCTAAGTCGTTGTATGTTGCACCTAACATGACGCTATCCTCTTTGCCATGCCCCTTACGAATATCGATTGCTTTATTAATCATTTCCTTTCCTTTGCCAAATTCCCCATCTATAGAGACACAACGGCCATATTTGGCAAGGCACTGGGCTCTGCTGTTACCGGTATTAATTGAAAGGTCGCTCTGGATTCTATCGGCTTCCATAAAGTAATCTTTAGCTCTCTCTCCAGCTTCAAGGGACAGATGAGGGGAAAAGAAACAACTGAATGCCTCTTTTATCCCTAGTGAAGTAAGACAATCACTTAACCTTTTTTCATCTTGCAACTGTAGGCACTTGTCTTTCAGCATATTAAAAACCGCATTAAATCGCTTCTCCCCCATCATCTTTGCACGTAGCTCGGCCGCTTTGTTGAAAACATCAATACACCTTAGTCTTTGTTCTTCGTCCATGGCGTCACACTTAAACCAGACGAGAAGTTGCATGATATTTTCCACTTCCTGACGAAACATATCGCAAGCTTCAAAAGCGCTTTTGCTCATGAAGTTCTTGAAAACGTCTTCAAGAATAGAAAGAAAGTAGTCGATAAAACTCTTTCGGCCCTTCTCGTATTGTTGTTTTGCACCTTCTTCTTGGGCCTTGTTCTGGCAGTAGAGTTTTTGGACTCCGAGAAGCCTGTACCAGCACGGAGCTTTGGGGCGAATGTTCCTTTTTAAGAAGGATCGATTAGCCAATTCCAAAATGCGTCTTTTTAACCCCTCTGAACGGAAGACTTCTTGAGCTGTTGACATGGTAAAATGTCCTTTGAACAGCGAAAGCCAGATAAGAGTGTGTCGTTGACATTACTTTTAGCTGCTTATGACTATACGATTGAATTCATAAGCGGCAAAGACAATGTGTTTGCAGATTTTTTGTCCACGAAGCCTATTGAATACAAGCAGTCTGCTGCAGAACAGGTAACTGTAAATATAATGTTTATCGAAGAAGACCAGTTTTTAAATGCGTCCGTGGTTGCTATGGAAACCATGAGAGACCCAGTTCTTGGAAAGGTGTTACAGTTTACTCAGCAGGGTTGGCCCAATAATCTGGAAGCAGTGTTCCAACCTTGCTACAGCAAAAGACTTGAACTCTCTTATGAAGATGGTATCCTCCTGTGGAACTCGCGAGTTGTTGTACCAGAGGCGTTACAGGCTCTCTTATTGGCCGATTTGCATGCAGAACACCTGGGTATGGTCAAAATGAAACAATTAGCTCGAAAATACTTTTGGTGGCCTGGACTTGATAAGCAAATTGAGGAGACAGTTAAATTATGTCCTGCTTGTCAAGAATCTGCTAAATCGCCAGCATCCGCCCCAACTGCTTCATGGTCCTGGCCAGGCGGACCATGGAAACGATTACATGTAGATTTTGCTGGGCCTTATCTTGGCAAGATGTTTTTGGTCGTGGTGGATGCTTATTCCAAATTTTTGGAGATAGTACCCATGACTCATGCCACCAGCACCAACACTATTACTGCTTTGAGACACATTTTTAGTTACTTTGGTTTACCAGAACATCTGGTAACAGACAATGGGACTCAGTTTACGAGTGATGAATTCCAGAAATTTCTAAGAGAAAACGACATCCTTCATACTCTCACTGCTCCGGGACATCCTGCTACAAATGGGTTAGCAGAACGCTATGTGGGTGAATTTAAGGATAAACTGGGCAAGATTGGAGATACAGGCGAGTCTGTGCAAACAAAATTAGACAGGTTTTTGTTGACTTACAGGGCTACACCCACCTCGTTAGGGAAATCACCCTCAGAATTACTTATGAACAGGCAGCCTAGAATTAGATTCAGTGCACTGAGAGCCAAGAGTTCTAAACAGGAAGTTAAGGTTTTTCAAGACAACCTTGATAACAAACCCCCGTTTACACCAAACCAAGCAGTTTTTGTGCGTAATTTTGGCAAAGGAGCCAAATGGATTCCAGGAACCATTGTTGGAACAGTCAGTCCCCGGAATTTTGAGGTTCAGGTCGGAGACATTATCTGGAAACGACATCAAGGACAATTACGTCCACGATTCATACCTTCCACACCAGGGTCAGAGTTAGTTCGTGCGCCCCAGCTACCTGAGCAAACTGAAGGGTTGACCCCAGTAGTGAGGGAAGGGCCTGTTACAACACCAACCCTTTCACAGCCTAAAGAGGCTACGCCTGTACTTGACACTCCAGCCTTGGATAGCATGGCTGATGCTTTTTCTTCACCACAGGACTCATCTGTGCGAGATTCAGAACTTCAAGCATCAGCGCCTGAGCAACCAGAACGGAGATACCCTCTCAGAGAGCGTAAACCGCCTCAGAGGTTCTACTAGTCTTTAGCAAACTTAAGTGTTCGTGACTTTGGGACTTGTTCCTATCAGTACATTACTTTGTATTATTAACAGGTTCAGTTTTTCTTTCCTTTGCTTTAAGAGGGGGCATTTGTCATATCCCATGAATCCTTATGCGCTTCGTACATGCGCAGTTGGTTCTTCTTGCCATGTGTGCTTACGGACTTGAAGTAAAATATTGTTGAGTTCTCAGCGTTCGTTATACAATTTCCTGCTATATTACAAACTACAAATTCCTGGTACATTACACGGGGAAAGCACGAAAGACGCGCGAAGGCATTTTGCAAAAAAGAGCAGAGCGGTCTCGTTTCTCCCGCTTGGCCTAAAGGAAACAGAACCGACTGAAACGCAGGCTAGGATTAACAGTGCTATTTAACCTAAAGTGACAATCTTAACGAGCACAGTTAGCTAGCGATATGTAATAACAGATTTCCTCTGTCTAAAACAACACCGGCATTAACATTAATTCAAACTTCTTCTCCGTTTGTGATTAGCTTAAGCCCGCTAGTTCTTCATGACGAGCAAACGCGGAACAAATTCTGAATTGGGAAGCCATTTTTAAAATACGTAACTATCCACTAATAGAAAAATTATTGAGTGAATGACGTCACTCAACAGAAAGTGGTGGCTTTGGCAATGAAGAGCTAGCTATAACCAAACTGGCTGAAAGATTTCAAATGCTGAATGCTAACTGAAAAAGATAGCGATAATAGACAGAAGTCACGTGCACTGAAAGTTCTCAACTTTAGTTTTTAAGAATAACTACAAAAAAACGAAAGTTTGTATCCTAAAACTGCCGAAGGAGGAAGATCATACAGCGCGGAACAACTTTTCGTTCGGTTTACACGGAGAAATTTCGGTCCGTGTGGTTAACAGCAGAGAAGGAATTAAAGTTTAAAGATTATCCACTGAATGACCCACCGCCATTTTTGTGTGGTTTGTCCCTGGTACTAGGATCTTCCTAGTGAAGGTAGTTTACATGGACCTAGGTTCTTTCTCGTGCTAGGATCGTCTTACCTCTCAGCTAGGAAGATCCTAGCGCTAGGGACAAGTACAACCCTTTGCATGTAAACTGAATACAGAAAACATATGGCGCTAGGATGATGCGCTTTCTAGGATCTTTCTCCCTGCATATAAAAAGCCCACGAAATAATGAAATAAGTTTTTGACATGAGGTTATTATCCAACTCAACTTTCGCCTTCGGCAAAGGCCCTCAAAATGAGCTAAATTTAACTCTTAAAATAACATCCTTTGGAAGGTTAAACCACCTTTTCAGTCTGAACCTATCATCTGGGCCATCCAGATCTAAACTAATCAGTTACTTAAGCCATAGGCCAGACCTTTTATTGGCGTCATTGGCTTGTAATAAACAATCAATAATA